GTTATTCTATATGTTGGTAAATTGAACACCAATAAAAAATAAATTTATTTAAAAAAATAAATAAAAAATAAAAATAAATAAAAAACAAAGATGTCAAATCATGTTTATACAATATTGGGAAACTCATTTTAGGTGACAGGATTCAGGGATACTATTCAAATTTTATTTTAATTTTCCTGTATTAATTTATTTTAAAAGTATGCAACATTTTATGATACCAGCAAAGTTGTAATTCTTCACTACAAAAAGATGAAATCAAATGAAATACACTGGAATGAATGTTAGGGAAAAATGTGAGAAATTAATACAAAACAAATGATAAGAGAGAATATCATTAAACATTTTAAAAAATGTTTACAACCCCTTCTCTAAGCTCCCAGAAGACCAGGAGATGATAATATACCAGGGTTAGCTCAGAAAGCTCCATAGGGGAGGTTTTAAATGATTTCCATCTTTTGCTAAGGCCAGGAGAAAGGCTATGAAACAACTGATGAGGCTAGAAAACATGTAGCTCAAAGCCTATTTTCAGCCATCACCAACATTTCATCTCCACCAGCTGCAGTTTCAACTGTCTGATTAATATTTACTGTGATACTATTTTGCAAGACCTTTGACAGTAAAAGGACCCAGTAGATATTGTTAGCATTTGTATGTATATCAGAATAGTGTTTTCCACTATGTGTGATGCAAAAATGGGTGAGAGACCAAGATTTTGTTGGTTTTTTATTTTAACATCATTAGAGAAGTGGTCTTTAGACTCATTATTTTATTTAATTGCATTCAGTCACTATGTTACTATGTCTATTCAATCACAGAGCTACCCCGAGAAATATTTTCAGAATTTTCATACATAACCTTGGTCAAGAACAACCAAACAGAACAAAATAAAACAAAAAAAAAAGAAACCTATGTCAGAAGTAATGGGCTCCCATGCTAATGACACATTTCTCATAAAAGTTTTAAGATTACCATCAGAAAAACTGTAATGACTGAGGATATTAAAGTTCAATAATTTTTTTATAAAAGATTTATTTATTTGAGAGAGAGAGAAAGTGGGGAGAGGAGCAGAGGGAGAGAATCTTCAAGCAGACTTCTCACTGAGTGTGGAGCCTGATGCAGGGCTCGATCTCACAACCCTGAGATAGTGACCTGAACTGAGACCAAGAGTCGATGCTCAACCAACTGAGCCACCCAGACACCCCTCAGTAATTTTTTTATTGTGTGTTCCTCACCCTCTCCAGGGAAACTGGCGTATAAAGGGACCTGAGAGAGGTCTATGGCACTTTCTTCCTGCAGTGTCCTCAGGGAAGCAAGCCAGGCTCCATTGTGCCCTGGGCTATAAACATGAGATTCCAAGACCCAAGTGAAATCTATACCTGAATAGGGTCATTATCCTGCAATTTGATTAAGCATTTGCCAGAGACCAAAAGGAAGCACTCGAGGGATTAGGATTTTATATCCAGTTAGGGGAATCTCACAATAAGGATGACAATTTAGACTTACACCCTAACCTCTGACTTTAACTAGATTTAGTTTGAGAGTTACCAATTTAAATTAGAAAAGACTGACACCATTTGTTTTAATTCAGAATGGTTTCAACAGGTTAAGAGTTATATACAATTACCTCTACCTAGAAGAAGGTAAAGATGGCTCAAACCACATTTCTAAAACTGTATGAACTAGCTGTCTAACCCTGATGGGGAAGGCACAAGGAAGAAACAGCTCTCCCTGTCTGGCTGGCTACTGGATGTTGGTTGGGTTCATCTTTCTTTGCACTGTATTTGTAGCTATAAAAGAATGACCTTCCCTAGGGGCATAGGATCATTTTTATGCAAGGGTATGTAAGCATGCTGAAACCTATAGGATACCTCATTCATCCAAACTTACTACCCCTTCAGCTACTTATAAATAATTCATACCAAAAATATCCAGCACCTACTAAGTGAGAGGGATATAATTGGTGTGGTGAGGACCTCAAGATAGACAGGAAGGTCACTATGTCCAAGGAAATAACAACTTAATGGCAAAGAGAGGGAAAGCAAAATATAAATAAATATGCCTTAAGGAATATTAAATACTATCCCAAAGCTAAAATGCTTCACAGCATTGAGATTCTTTTACTCTGTAAGATCCCTAAGGTCATAGAACATCAAAAACATTACTTTCTAAAAGAAACATGGGGTATTGTCTAGAAATAGTTATGTTTAAGGTTCTTCCTTTCATTTCATCCTTATCTTTTTTCACTTTTTATTTTACAGTGCTGGGCCTATATGGGAGGCTTCCTAAACACTGCTCACTTCATTTGCACAGAATAAGCCACTCAGCCAGTTGCTGGCTGGTTAGTCATCAGTCCCATTTCCTTCCCAGTAATCACCTTCAGCTTATCTTTGGCAGTTTTTTACATTAACTGACTTATTTTAAGTCCCACCTTCTTCCTCCATCTGCCTGATTTTATAGGATCAGCCAGGAAATCTTACAGTTGCTAGCCCCCCCTTCCATGTGTATCTAGTAAACCTGGATTTTAACACTGGCAGATTCATCATGTCAGAGGGCCCTGCTGCTCTTCCATGGTGCCTGCAGGTCCATAGTATGGGATAGATGGTTCAATATCCAAATGCCCAGGATAATGGTGTAAACTTTGGAGCTAGCTACTCCTCAGCTTGTATATTAGCCATGTCATTTACGGGGGAACCTCGTTAAATGGGCCTCAGTTTCTTCAGCTGAAAAATGGAAATAATTCTACTGTACATAATTGAAGGCAATACTAAACAAGATAACTTATTAAGAGATACCTAGACTATTAAGTTAAACACAAGCACTGAATATGATTTCACTTCTACATCTCTTCATTAAGGTAGCTTCACTATTCTATTACTTTGCAGTCTTTAAAAAAAAAGCAGCTTAAAATGAACACAGTGGTCTCCTTTATCAACTTTTTAAATTGCTGACAAGTCAGCTGAAATACTCTGACAATACAATTTTTAAAATGTAAGACGTTCATTGCCATGTAGGGCTTCTAGGTAACAATAGTTAGAAAGCAAGAGCTCCTAAAACCTGAATACCTGATAAGATCCTGATAACATACTACACACCTTTTTTGACTTCCAATCCTGAAGTTAGCTCAGTAATTAAATAGGGAGGGCCCTATGCCTTGAATTTTTTTAGATGCATGATATACCACTGACTTTACCGAAGTTGGTAGCAGGCCATTTTTAACCGAATGTCACTAATTTTTAAATAACTTAGGATATCAGAGGACCTGGGTGGCTCAGTGGGTTAAGCATTGGCCTTCAGCTCAGATCATGATCCCAGGGTCCTGGGACAGAGCCCAGCCTGGAGCTCCCCACTCAGTGGGGAGTCTGCTTCTCCTCTCCCTTCTCCTGCTTGCTCTCTCTCTCTCTCTCTCTCTCTCTCTCAAGTGGATAAATAAAATCTTTAAACAATAAATAAATTATTTATGATATCACAGCCTGGCATTTTTTTAGTACATTTTTTAATACATTCTTTACATATCACTCTCCCATGGTAGTTTTCTATTTTAGAAGCTACTCCTGTTAAAGTACATACTTTACAACCCTCAAAAGACTAGGAAAAAAACACAATAATACATATTAAGTGAGGATATAAACACACATTCACACATTTTGGGCTACACAAAAATTATAAAATTATTTAGCTTTGGAAATAATGCAAAAGAGGTAATTATCTATATGCCAAGAATGTAAACCAAAAATAAACTCTGTTTAACTAAAGAGATCTTATCTAAGGATTATATAAATCTTATTCAAAGACTTTTTATTGAAAGCATGCTCCCAGGATTTGGCAAAATTCCTGGTATAAAATAAGCAATCAGTAAACCTTTATATATGTGTGTGTGTGTGTGTGTGTGTATACATATATATATATATATACACATACACACATATATAGTAAACCCTTATTTTATATATGTAAAATGTTTCATATATATTATATATATGTATATGTGTGTGTATGTGTGTGTGTATGTATATATATATATATATATATATATATATATATATAGAGAGAGAGAGAGAGAGAGAGAAAGAGAGAGAAAGAAACTCTTGGTTGAATTTTATAAACAGATGAATTGCAAATAAGAATTACCTATGTTGTAGGTAAGTAAGTGGCAGAACTGATAATAAAGTTCAGATCAGTAACTGTAATTTCTACCAACCACCTGACAAAGTATTACAATGATCCAGGTCATTATCATTACACTGACTCAGAAGTGAAATAACTGAGAGAGAGAAATGAAGCCATTAGGTCCAGATTTCCAACAAAGGAGATTCAGCAGAGAATTACAATGTTCAGCCCTGGATATGTTTATTTTCATCTTTTTTAATTCTCACGTTACGTTTTCTCTGATGCTGCTTCTGAGTATCTGATGCAAGTTATCAGGAAGGAAATCTGCTGAAGAAAACCTGGTGCTGACTTGCAAGACCCAGGGACTGTGTCTCCTACACTACACTTCTCAGCAATTTTACACTGTTTTTCCGACAAGCACTACTGAATATTTCAAGCAGCATCCATGACAAGCAAAGCAGAGCAGTTTTACTGCAGCAGACCCCAATGACAATGTCCTCTATAGGTGAATGAACTCTTTACAAAAAGTTGCACTTTTTTCCCCCAATACAGTATATTCCAATAAACTGAAACCCAGTTGCAGAAACAAAACATGGCACAATAGATAAAATCATGACTTGGCAGATAATTTCTTAAATATACAGTAAATATACAGACCACATTAAATCTCCTATCTTTACCCAATAATATCATTTATGAATTCAGCAATATGCTAAGACCAATCTGTTGGAACTGTACTTTATTTAGTACCCTTTCTGGTTTAGATAAACTGGAAAGATTTTTAAGTTTCCTTGTTTAACCATTAAAAAAAATGTTCTAAGAATTTTCCATAATTTCATTGAAAAAAGATATGTCTCTAAAATGTGAAATGTCATAGTCTATTGAACACTCACCCAAACCAGACTTTTTTAATCGTTTTAAGTGCTGACTTGTTTGTTTTCCAGTGGGAGATTTTTGCCCATGTTTCATTTCTTTATCTGAACTGTCTGCTTCACCATTTTTAGATTCGGATCCTAAAAAAGGAAATAGTTATTATGTCATTATCTTCCTCTTGCTGTCCTTGAAAAGAAAAATCTAAAATTATTTCAAAAACCATAGATATAATCTTTTCTATAAGTTAATTCACTACCTTTGGCCACAATCTGATTCCTCTGCTGGATATAAAGAGAAAAGCCCAATAAATCAATCAAACAGAACAAAAAGCAAGAACAGATGGCCTAATAGTGGAGTCAAAAACACGTTCACTGATCTGATAGCTTTAAAAAGAAACACTCAGATCTTTTGTAAAAACACACGGATAAGCGTCAACAATTCTATACCATTTAGAGAAGATGCAAGACAGAGATAGAAACATGAAAGAAGAGAAGCTTGAAGAGAAGGAGAGATCATACCTTTATAAACAACTTTATGTTGAAATAGGAACAGAAAATGCAAGCATCAATCTATAATAAATAGAATGGAACATAGCTGATAAAGTGACAGAAGGTAAATTAGAAGAAAAGGTCAGGGCTGTACTGAGGTGAGAAGAATGTTCCCAGAACACAGAAACTAATAAAGGATGCCTGATTTTGCAGCAGAAGACTGAAAAACAAATTCACACTCACGGAAGAACTGCTTTTGATGGCATTACACATCAGCATGTGGTCCACCATTAAAGTTCAACATTCAAACAAAAGCCAGAGCAACAACAAAAAAATCCACCTAGCAGTACCACACATTTTCTTACACCTATTGACATTAGAAAATGAAGTCCTTTGATGATGAGCGAGCTGATGCCTTTTCTTTTTTTAAGAGCGAAATGTCTTATTATTTTTGTATCACTGAAAGAGTCCAAAGTCTAAAAAAAATAAAAAATTAAAACGAAACCTCTAGTAGAAATATTATTCGGTTGCAGAGAAAATTCCTGACATCTCTCTCAGTGAAGAAGTCTCCTCCGGGAAGAAACTGGCCAAGCATACAATATTTTAGCGCTTTACCTGAAGGCGAATCCGACTGCTCATCAGACACCTTTAATGGTGTCAAAACAACACGAGGAACAGTCTTGTTTACCATCATTGAGACTCCATTTCTTCTTTTCTGCTGCTGCCTCAAAGCCTACAAAACATAACAAAATATAACATACAAATATAGCCAAAATGATGCCTCATAATTGAAATAAATGATCCATTTTGCCCATCGTTAGATACAACCTCTTAAGAGACTTAAATTCCACAGAGTCACTAATTGGTCTTGATTCTTAATAGTCCTCTTCATGTCATTTTCCCTCAAAAGCCTAAAATTAGGCTTTGGCAAAGGGTAGCAACCTGAGACCATTTGGAGTCTAATTCTGAAAACAAAGCAGCACTTATAGCACAGTTCTACCTTAGCTGTGTGGCTTGGGAGCCCATGGAACTTGCAACCATGACTCCCAAGTAAAATAAATGTAAAATAAATGTTTCGAGACCAGGATAAAAATAGATGTGTCTGCACTTCTCTTGCAGGTGCGTCTTCTTCAGTGGCCTGCTCGGTCAATCAAGTTAACACCGAGTGTCATCAGTATGTACAGCAGGTAAGGACTACAGTATTGATGCACTCACTCAGCCGTGGGGAGCGCTGCACAAAATCACTGAACATGGCAGGAATCATTTATTTCTGTGAAGGGAATCAGTCCTAATCTTGGAAACCTTGCAGCACTTGGCTTCTGTCTGCTTGACTTTGGGCATTAACCTTCAGAACACGAACATGACGGCGTTCTGGCAAATCCAGGGGAAAAAAAAAATTGATACGAGAATAAATCTCTCCAAATGGGAGTGCTTTGTGTTTCATAAATGGATCAACCACGGTGATGATAATGTAATAAAAGACATTTAAAAGTTTTGAAATACAGCTTATCCAGCGGATCACTTTACACAGAAAATTACCTGTAATAAAAAGGGTCTTCAGCACACTAGACTGAAGAGACATTAAATTCACAGTTACAGGGATGCTAAAACTCCTCAAAAGGTTAAAAGGCTGACCACAGACAGTCTCAAACATTTTTATTCCTGGTTTCTGTGTCATTTCTACCCATTTTATAACAACTCAGTTACTTGATTTATATTCTTCGACTAGGAGTTGTCACAACCTCCTAAAATACTGCATTGGCTGTATATCCCCTGCTGTCAGAAACAATGTCATTTTATTTGCAAAGGGTATTAGTTGAATGTCCAACCTGTAGACAGTAAGATTTAGTAATCAAATAATTACAGAAGTAAAAAATTAAATACCATTTAAATGAGAGAAGGCCTCTTCACAGGAGATTTAGAAGCAGATGGGAAAGTGAATGGCTTGGGAAATCTGTTACAAATGATATTGTTGGCTAATGATAAAGCAAGCAACTTCCCTTCAATTCTTATATCTACTGAGCTTTTACAAAGTACCAGGCCCTGTGTAGGGGGCAAGAGATAAGAAAAATGAACAAAATGCCTTGCTCCTCATCTTCAGCTTGCTGTCAATAATATATTTAATGAGACCAAGTGTGCTATAAAATATTTAAGACATTTACCCTTTCATCAAGGTGTATACAACTGCATAAATCTCTTACAGCCTGGTGTAAGAGCTCAGAGCACTTTATAGACATTAACCTATCAAACCAATAATAAAACAGAAGGAAGCAACACAGTGCCTTATATTACAATTAAGTCCATTTTTGCCCACTCCATAAGACTTCACAGAACAATAAAACGTGTACAAAGAATGATTAATTTTTAGAGGTCTATATATCATAGACTTCAACTACTTCCCTTGGCAATTCAAGTGGGTATTTTAAAAGCATTCATTTTACGTTAGGGAGGGTAGGTATATATTTGAAAATACTGGTTAAGCAAGAATGTGAAATAACAAAGGGCCCACCTAGGAACTGGAATCATAAAAATGGTATGTCTTTTTATAGGATTTGTGGTAAATAATTATTAAAGTAATAATTTTGTCATCAACTTTTAGAGCTGAGAGGACTCTACTACAGACAAATTAGTAGCTGGACAGAAAGAAACCATGACAGAGATAATATAATAAGAAAAACCTGCAGCTTCAAGGCGGAGCCAAGTAGGGATAAAGGAATAATCAATATTGAGACCATTTCAATGATTTTTGTCTAAACATGCATTTACTATTCAGAAATTTAAAGAAATATTTCTGAATACAGTATTTTTAATGCTAAAATGAAACAATGTATCAACATGTGACCAAAACTAAATGCCCACAATATAAAGAAAATTGTTTTAAGTGTATTTAAAATATGTATACTTTTCTGTTTTACTTCTGAAAAGCATGCATTATAATTGACCCTGAATAACAATCTCTAGGGGCAGAGAACAAAAATTGGGAAGTTTTTGTTTCCTATGAGGCCAATCATAGCAGTGAAGTAGGCTACTAGGCAAACTTGAGGAGCATCATGGTTCAGTTATCAGAAGGGGCATCTTAATCACATTTACTAGATCTATAGTCACATTAGGCTAACTTGCAGATTCCAGATCACTTCCCAGGAAGCAGGATTTATTTGACTCTGGACACTAGGGACAACTTCCAAGCAGATCAGAATGTGGATGTAGGTACAGAGAACAATGCTCAGTAATTGAGTTGTCTGGGATAGTGTGGGCTCCACGTAAGAGAACTCTGGCACCTGTCATGTCCATGAGGCAGGCTGTACAGTGGTTCCTGCATTATGGTGACTTCTGTTCTCTTGCTGTATGGTGTTAATCCTACAAGTAGAGTAGCTGGCTGTTCATGGGTTTTTTTGGATTATGTAACTATTTCTGCAACTAGGTGTACATCAACTACTCAAACATATGCTGCATGTCTCCTCACAAATGTGAAATGCTTTTTTGGAGTATATGGGCTAGGGTAAAATAGTGATGGGGGTGAGGGGGCTGAAGTGAGTGAGAAAAGCACATGCCCCATTGGAGGAGGCAGTAAGTACTCAAGAAATGCAACACAACTGGATTTTTAGGTGAGCTTTCCTGTTTTTAAACAAACTGCCAGACAAAACAAAGATGACTCTGAGTTAAATTCAGCCCGAGGGGACCAATCTTTGAGATCTACTATACACATTTCCAATGCTCCTCACTTCCTCAAATAAATGAGTCTGACCACTGCCCAATAGAGGTATTAAATTCCCCCTATTCTAACATGCTGACCTGCAGAGGACTGGGGAACAGTGCAGAGCCATTCTAATGACTGTGTCTGTGTGGTGTGATGGGTAAGAGCAAGGTTGCAGAGTCAGAGAAAAAATAAACTAACCAGCTGGAAAACGCTGGGTAAATTACATGGGTAATATGTCCCCATAAAACGAAGACAATAGTGTTGTAAGATGTTTTAAATAGGAAATCCACAGAACAGTATTTAATGCTATTTGTAGCACATAGTAAATATTCAATAAATGTTACTTCTTATATAATTTACCCATTCTGCAATGAATGCATTTTTTGAGGACTTATTCTGTTGTAGTACAGCGTACACACTGCTGATCCATAGCAATGAACAAGACAAAAGATTTTATTTTACATTTTAGCAAAAGACTACTAAGGAATTACATAAAATAAACATAGTAATTTTATATACATACAAGCACTAATATAATTATGCCAGGATGAGGAAGTAGAGTAACTGGGGTGGGAAGAAAAATCTCTTGAGGAGGTGACAGTTGAGACAAAACCCAAGTGAAAGGAGAACCAGCCACATGAAGATGTCAGGATCTCCAGTCTAGTATTAGTATTAGACCTCACAGGAAGTCTTTGGTGGTTCAAGGAACAAATAACTTGGGGAGCTCAAAAGGAGGACCAGGAAGATTACGGAAATGGAAAAGAATTCCCTGAAATGACTGCCCAGTGTTTATTAGGAACAAGAGATGTATGTTCAAAGCAAAGGCAACTCTACAACCTCAGTCTTGTCCCACAGCCCAAAGTGACCACTCCAGCACCTCTGCACCAAAGACGTGAAAGAGGCCCAGCAAAAAGAAAGCATAGTGTGTCTTTCAACAAATAAATGCCGTTTGCCTTTATGCATTTTTTCAGCATACATTTTAAGGCTCCGCGGCATGAAGTACATTACATCTCACACCTTGGGCAAACTTCTTAACAATTCTGAGCATTTTGAGCAACTTAGGGAAGGGTCCTTAAACACTCCAGGAACTCTTCTGCCTCAGAGCCTCTGCATGAATTCTTTTCTGTACACAGTACACTCTTCCCTCAGACATCTGCATGGCTCATTTTCTCATATACCTGAGACCTTTCTTACTGTCTAAGCCCATTTTGGGCTGCTATAACAAAATACCACAGGCTGGGTAACCTGCAAACCATAGAAATTCATTCTTCAGAGTCTGGAGGTCAAAGGCCCGAGATCATAGGGCCCCTCCTCTGGATTGTGGGCTTCTCCTTGTACACTCATATGGCAGACAGTGGCTAGGGAGCTCTGGTGGGGTCTCTTTTGTAAGAATATTAATCCCATTTATGACAGCCCCATGCTCATAACCTAAGCCACCTCCTAAAGACCTCATCTCCGAATACCATCATACTGAACCTTAGGATCCCAAAATACAAATTTGGGGGGACACAAACATTCAAATCACACATTCTTATACTGCTTTTCCCACCATATTCTCGATCCCCGACATCCACTCTACATTATTTTTCCCTGCATGGAAAAATAAACTGTGTAATGTCATTTTCATGCCTTTCCCAACCTAGAATACAGACTCTACGAAAGACAAGGATTTTCATCTTTTTTGTTCACTGACATATCCCCAAGTGCCTAGAAGATTACCTGAGCTATACTAGGTGCTCATAAATATTTACTAAGTATAAATAAAATAATTAAATAAATTTAATATATAATATTTATACTAAGTATAATTAATATATAATATTTATACTAAGTATAAATAAAATTAAAGATAATTTTAATAAAAATTAAAAAATCCCTCTTCTGTCTCTCTTTAAAATATATAACTGGTTTATTCAAAAGGCAGAAATCAGCATGAAACAAGAAATAATTTTATTCTCTTAAAATTGCCTTTATACATTTCTGACCCATTTTCCTTGCTCATTTCTGAACAATATTTTACATAGAGCCCACAGCTT